ACGTTGTGAAAAGGAGCTAAGAATTGGGCGATCTATAAATAATGTTACTGTGACATACGGATACATGAAGATATCAATGAGTACGCTTAAAATACAAAGATCCCCCAAATAATCTGCTAAATCACATTGCTAATTATAGCTAAACGCTAATTTCATCAGGTACTCTTGGGATATAAATAGTACTACATATGTACAATATAGGTAACTAATCAAGGATCCCAAATAATCTGCTAATGATCTGCTAATTATAGCTCCTAATCTCAGGAGCTAATTACAACTAATTACAGCTAATTACAGCTAAATACAACAGCTAATCATAATAGTATTAAATGATAGATATGTAATTTGACCTAATTTTATATTTGTTGACTTTTGGAATGTTTAGATTTATGAAGTATATTGTGAATGATGAGCTTTTAAGATATGGTTCTCGTGTAATATATAAACAAATAGTATAAACATATATTTTGTGACTATTAGAATAACTCTTTACTACTTTTAAAGATAAATGGAAAAATTTATTTTGGTATCGTCTAGCTACCATTCCACCAAAAATAATAACAGGTGGGAGGTAAATTTAAACTTATCTTTATAGAATTCTCTTGCAATATCGCCCCATAATGTGATTCACATTTTTTTCTTTGCATTTAAGAAAAAAATATATATTTACAAGCAATTTATATTTTTGGACATGAATTGTATAAAGTTTGTAATTAAGTGTAGAATAATATGATATTTATACATGAGGTCTTGAATGATGATATTTTTGAGTGATTTTAATCTGTCACGATGTCACCAATATAATTTCTGATTTAGACTATGTGAATGAATCAAAGATCAAACTTCCTCCCAATAGAAAGAGAGATGAAAGAGCGGAAAAAAAGCAACAAAAAGAGAGAAAGAACACATAAAAGAACTATGAAAGAGAAAGAGTTTTCTAGACTTTTATCTCTTTAAAGTCGATTAAAGAACTTTTGAAATGGGTAAAATCGAAATATAATAAAAATAAAAAAGTTTAAATAGAAAAATATTGCTCCAATGAACAGTGAAATATGGTTGAGATTTAAAGCTAGTTGGTGTTAGTCCTTTCACAAATATATGAAGAATAAGCCAAAAGTAAGTCTAGACACAAATTAGCAAACAAAAGATGCAATGAACTCATAAGAAATAGATTAATAATAAAAAATTACCTGATCCAGGTATTGAGATTTAGACTATGTGAATGAACAAATATCAAACTTTCTTCCAACTGAAAGCAATGGAAAAGAGAGAACGAATGCAGAAAAGAAATATAAAAGAGAAAGAGTTTTATGGACTCTTATCTCTTTAAAGTTGGTTAAAAAACTTCTGAAAGCAGTAAAATCAGAATATAACAAAAATAAAAACTTTAAACGGAAAAACACTATTCCCATGAATAGTGAAATATGGTTGAGTTTTAATATATGTATAATATTAGTTGGTTTAGTTGCTAAATTAAAATCATCCGCCTCAATCTCCCCCTCACCCCACACAAGATACGTATAATATTTTATACAGAAATATACAAGATTTCTTTTATTATGTCAAAATGATGAACATTGTTAATATTCTTAAAAAAAATTAAAGTTAAATAAATAGAAAATTATAGAATTCAAATTGGATTTGATAGTATCCATAGTAGATTAATATTGAAAATTTTGAAATTTATCATTATCTAGCTGCATATAATAAAATTTTAATTTGAAATAAATAAATAAATAAATAAAATATTTTTTCTAATAAATTGTATTTTTAAAATGAATATAATTTACCATGGAATAACGTGGACATATCCACTTATAGAACCTATAATATTTTGTATCGACGTTGTTCCACAACAACCAAAATTATTGAGGACCATTTAATCAAATCAAATAAAAAATTAATATTGCCAATAAAATATATATAAAAAATTGAATTAAAAATGGATTTGATTTGATTTATTATTTAGTTTTAAACATTTTATTTAAATATATTATATTGATTTATTTAATTTTTATAAAATTTTTAATACTATCAAATCCAACCCACTTGTAGTTTAGAGTGAGATAAAATTGACATGTCCAAGTTCATAGGGTTGAGAATCAACCTAATTTGGGCTTTAAGTTAATTGATTTGGGCTGGAGCTGAAAAGTTCGGGTTTAATATAGAAGGCCCAAGTTTTGAAAATTAGGGTTTTGTTTCTCTTCTTCCTCTCTCTCTCTATATAAGGCCCCAATCCACTTTTGAAGGCGTGAATCATCGCTGCAGCTTTGAGCGATTTCGAATCAGCAGAGGTACGAATAACAATTATCAACCTGTTGTTTTTCTTTTCGTATGTTCTTTTTACTTTCGTTTTGAAGAGAATGAAATTAAAAGGAGAAGAGAAAGGCAAAACGTCGCTGATTCGCTAATTCCGATAGCGAAATCAGTCCTTTTAGTTGCCGATATTTTAAGAGCTGTCTATGCTTGCGATCTGCTTTCTTTCTATAAGGCCTATTGCATTCACATGCTCGTAAATTTTTCTTTTCTTTTTAAATTTTTTTTTATTCTTTCGTTATTTGTTTAGTTAATATAAAATATATGTTTTATAATGATAATTTGTAAATTTATATATCACTATCTTTTAAACAAATTTTTGTTTTATTGGAATTGGATTTGAACTTTATTTTTTGGCCCTTTCGACGGAGTTTAAAATGGATTAGATTTACAAAAGTCAAATAATGTATTTCGGAAAAGTAATTTGAGGAAAAAATTGGCAACTAATATTGTGAAATTAGAACTGGAATATGTGAAATTGAAAGCTAATTTGTTGGAAGGAAAATGCCAACTTAAAATACAAGAGGCAAAAAGCCCATATTTTATCAACTCACGCAAAACGTCAAAACATGAAAAGTAATAAAAACGTCAAAACGACACAAAAATTGCAATGACCCGATTCAAGAAAAGCAACCAAAAAAATAAAAGGAAACGACTTTCGATGGCCATTAGTTGGATTTGTTCAATTGAAAGGAGACCCATGATTTAGCGTGTTGATGATGGTTACTAGGCATAAAATAACAGCTCTGAAAAAAGAATTAATAAACATTGCCTAATTTGGTACTTAGATTGATTAATGTAATATAAGTTTCAATTTATTATTTTTTAATCACTTAATTTTAATTTTATCTCAATTCAATAATAGAAATTATAAATTGCATTAAAAATTACATATTTTAAAAAAATGATGATTATGAAGGAAAAAAAAAATACAAATAATATAGTGCAAATTTTTCTTATTCTTTTAAAACTTATTTTATGTAGATGACATTATTTATTAAATAAATTAATAAATAGATTACAAATTAATATTTTAGTAGAAAATAGGATCTTTTAAATATAATATTTTTTATTGCATTTCATTATTTTAAAATATCACATTTTATTATTTTTAAATATTGGTGTATTATTTTTTTGAACTTTTTTTTTTGGGGGGGGGATAATAAGGATGGAAGTAGTTTAATGATATCAATTCGGTGATTTAATTTTATAGAATTGATTTGAAAATTTTACTAATTTTAATTGAATTTAAATTAGTTCATATCCTTTGGGTGAATTTATATTGTTGTACCTTTAAAATTTTGTCTAGCTCTCTCCTTGTATCTATTCTTCTTTTTAAATATCACTAAAATGTTTATTTAGAATTTGACTCGTGAACATAGTCCAAAATTTATTTCATGTTGCCCTCTGCCCAAGGTGAACCCATTCACTTGTTTATGAAAATAAATTTATTTTTTGAAACCTTTTCTAAGGAAAATTAAATAGAAATTTCAATAATTATCTTTTGTTGCATTTTGGGTTTAAATAAGCCGAACCGAGCTCGAATCTACTACGCTCAAAGCTCGATTCGATAGAATTTAACTAGACTCAATTCGAATTCAACTTAAGGCTCGAGTTAAACTCATAAAATTTTAAGCTAGAGTGCAGCTCAAGACTTGAGTAATTTAAAATAATAATTTATATATGTATATATAAAAGCTTGATAAGACTCGTGGGCGCTCAAGCTCGACTTGTTTGCTAAATGAGCAGACTTAAACTCAAGCTCGATTCAATTCAAGTTTTTTCGAGCCGAGCTCGAACAGTTCGCGAGCTACTATTTAGTGATTTCCCTATTTTATTTATGGTAGATCTCATTCAAGTAGAATTACTTTAATTAATACTTGCATTCCTCTATAAATTGGACACCTTAAGCATGATATAAAACAAGCAGAATTATATTCATCTAAATTGAAATCTAGACTCTCTTTTAAAGTCTGAGACTAGAACTCATTTTTAACGAGCTCGCAATTTTCAACAATAATAGGTCGAGAAAAGAATTGTGGTAAAATAAAAGATTTAGCTTTTGAATCAGATTTTATTGTTAACATGGCCGTGATAAAATTCATCAAATTTTATTGTTAACAGGCCTGTGACGAGATCCTGTGATCATAATAATAGTTTTGCAATTTATGCATATTGTGTCAAGGACACAAACGCAGGTGGTAATGCAATCCCTTCAACGGTCATTACATAACACGTTTATATATTAAGAAAAATGAGTCAGCTTGGCTCATTTGCACCCCTAGTTGCATTAGGGTTATAGTATTGAATATTTAAATGCTGATTAAAGATATAAAGTCTTAATTTATATGATTGAAAAAACATTAAGAATCTTAAAAACTAATAGGAAAGAAAAAAATATTTTTTATAAAAGGGATTAATTTTTTTTTCAATTTTTTAAAACATTATAATTCAAAAAATAATTTTCGGAAAACATATAAAATTCAAGAAATATATTACAGAAAAATATTTTTTGGACACAAAGGGATCATACTATAATAACAAAAAAAAAAAAAAATGATAAATATTCAAGAAATATTACAAGAAAATATTTTTTCTGGAGACACAAGGGATCATACTATAAATACAAAAAAAAATAAGCGACCATACATTTATACTAAATTATTAACAAGAGGAACAAGAAATAAAGCTGAAATGTCTGAAAGTAAAAACTAATTTATTGGAAGCAGTCTTCTTCTACACTGAAAATGAAAAATCTAGGCTGATAATGCCAAGGAAAGGAAAGCTACAAAGAAAAGCTACAAAGAGAGCAATAAAACCACTGCATTTCTGAATTTGGGCCGCACCGGTCGTCTTCTCTGACTCGCTTGGAGGAGGTGCCGTTTTGGAAGTGCCTGTTAACCAATACACTAAAACGTTAATACATGAAAACGACAATTCGTAGACCAGAAAAAAAAAAAAAAAAAGGAACTCACCATTATTAGCAGAATTTGATGGAGGTGATGGAGGCGACAGAGGTGATGGTGATGGAGCACTGATTGGTGAAGTTGCTGAAAACAAGTAGAATTAGATAATTCAGCCAGCTTCATTTGAATTAAAGCAATATTATAACAGAATAAACCGAATTTTTTAGAAAAAGACCAAATACAACCGAACTATTTATAAGATCAAATTAGACTGAACTAATTTGGTTTGATTCAATTTTTTTTTTAAATGACTTTATTTTTGAATCAACTCAATTTGATTTTGAATATTTTTAGTTTTTTCCGACTTTATATAATAAAAACTGAAAAAAACTTTATTTTTCCTATGAAAATCGTAATAATTACCAAGTAAAGGGCATATCTTATTTTGTCACCTAAAATGCTTCAAAGTTAAGAGTGTGATAGTTGTATGTATTGTATAAAATAACAAAAGCTTCGGCAAAATCAAAGCAAATTAGAGAAAAACTATGTGAGAAGCGGTGGGACCTGTCACTTGCCGTCTCCTTATATTCTCACAAAATGCCAACTCCATTTATCCACTCCATTTCATTGAGTTTAACCCATCCACATTTTTGTCTACATCTCAGCCTATATTTCTTTCCCCTTTTAATACCATTTCAAACAATTCAAGACTTCATTTCTTTAAAAAACCCCAATCTCATAACCCATAAAATAAGGCTAAGGGTTATATTCTCAACAAAATGCCAACTCCATTTCATTGAGTTTATATCCATCCACATTTTTTCTACATCCTCACCCTATATTCCTTTCCCCTTTTAATACTCTTCCAACTCAAACTTCATTTCTTAAAAACCCCAAATCTCAAACCCTATAAAATAGCTAAAGGGGTGCTTTGCTTATGCCAGTTCTTCCAATGGCTAAGGTTAAACAGAAACAAAGCCTTGAGACTCTAATGGACATGGAAGAAGAACATGCGGTGTGAAGAAAATGCTGTCCCGCCGGAGGCTCCGGAACATAACTCCAGGCCATGGACCTTGAGTTCAAAAAGTATCGTATAGTGTGAAGAAGAAACTTAAGAAAAGAATGGTGCTTGGATCACCAAGGAAGCTTATCTTCTGAATGATAATCTGGTCCAGGTTTGAGAGGTGATTATGGCCATCAGGGGACTAGTGGTGCGGAAAATCCACTTTTTCCCTTGATGCCTTAGCTGGTTCATTGCACAGGCGTCTTAGGGATCTGTTAGGATAGTGGAAAACCGGTTAGTACATAACAAAGCAGGAAGCCCCTTATCACTAATAATATATATATATATATATATATATACATATGCATTATTAATGTGTAAACTATGGTTGTGTAGTAACTACATAGCTACTATGAAAGATGGTTTCATCTTATGTGATGCAAGAATGATCAACTATTCTCCATGTTGGACCTGTTTTTGAGACATTTCATGTTTGGCAGCTGGAAGTTAAGGCTTCCTCCTTCCTATTTCAAGAAAGTGAAAGAAAAAATGAGTCCATTGTATCTCCTTGACCAACTAGGTTTAACGTGTAACTGCATCTCCTCTCTTTCTTTGGTTCTCAGGCTGGAATGAAACTAACCCACTGACCCACAGACTGCATTTAGTTGATTAACAAGAATAACCGTCGCCAACCCTAATTCTTGATCCCTTTTCACTTTCTCATATAATTAAATATACTATATTGTTGACAATGACATATATAACAGGAAAAGTAGGCAATCAATTACCTACTTTGTTCCCACCTATATGTTACTATTGTCCCGCCTGACATGGCAACCTAGTGTCTCATACTAAAATAGCCACATACCCACTATGGAGTAACAAAAACATCAAACGTAGTGATTTTCCCCCCTTTTAAAAATATCTATCAAGCCAAGTAAGATTGGGATAATTTTTAAAAATTTGCACTAGGTATTTAACAGAGTAGATTTGAGGCCATGATATTTAGCTTTTTTCTAATGAAATAGGTTATAACGATCAATTGTAGCACTCTTGTTATCCTTCAAGTTTTATGTATCAAAATTTTAATGTAGATACTGATAATAAATGATTAAAATTGAATGCAGAGTGCAAGCAACAATACAATATTGGTGATGAGGAAGTAGAAGGGTAATCAGGAAGGGGAAACGCCGACGGGTATCTATAGGAATTGATATAATCCATACCATTCATTGTTGTTTCCTTGACGAACCAAACTTTCGGTCTTGATTCCTACAAGTGCTCACAGTGTGGTGGAAGAAAGTGAAGGACATAGCACGGGGTGGGTAAGTATGTCTTGATGAAACCATTCACCAGCCCTCTTACAGGATTCAAATGCTTTTAGACCGCATTACAGTTCTTCTAGGTATGATAGACTTTAAATTTTAGATCCTAAGAGTAAAAAAATTGTCCTCTATTCAAATAGCTGAAGTTTGAATTATATCAAAATCCAAACAGGGGCAGACAAATAATTGGGAAGCCCAGGTGCCTCTCTGCCATCTCTCTGGAATTTTGGAAGACCCAGTTCCTGATGGAGAAAACAGCTGGAGTATCTTCTTGATGTAATCAAGGAGTATGATGAGTCCACTGTAGGAACTTGAGCCCCTTGTTCTTTACCAAAAGAGAGGGCGAATCAAACCAGATCAACTAGCTAAAGGAACCTATCCCCAAGACTGCCAAAAGACCCCAAAAAACGCCAAGGACTCATATATGAGTACCCCTCGGATCCAAGCAATTGCCATTAGCCTTCGTAGCCAACATTCTCAATTAATGGGAAATATGACACCTCGGAACAGACTCGGAACGATTTGATTTGATTTTGATGATGATGATAACTTTGATAACTCCCTTGAACGTAACTGTTGGCCCGACATAATGCACATGCAAAGTGTGTTTATCCAGTTAGCTTCACAGTTTTACAAAGATTTTTTCAGTCTGGCCTCTACCATGGTGTTAAGGAACCTCCTCGCCATGGCACCGACCATGGACTCCTGCAAGAACTCCAGCAAAAACACCAATCTTCTGCTGTAAGAATCAAACTCTCAAACAGATACCGAACACCTTCAACAAGTCCTTCTCGCCCAAAACTCCTGTAGTCTTCAAGCTCCTCAGTTATTCATATGCCTACAATCTTATAAGAATTGGACATGGAGGATGAAGAATGCCTGATGAAACTACACATGGGTCCTAAATTTTGCTAAATTCCATGGCTCGTGAAATTGTAGTCCTCTCATGGCGAACAGCACTTAATGATGTCTCGTTCATCCTCACAGAAAACCTTTCTCTCAAGAGAAGAAGGTCGTATTCAGAGCGTCTTAGCATTGGCAAATTAATGCGCTTGAGCTTATTTTTTTCAAAGAACCTGAGCGAAGAAACATTCAAAAACCATCAGCAAGGCCTTTTGAATTTCTACATTTTTGCAGTTTGCCTGATTATTCTTTTCCTCTAATGATGCTGTTCCCAACATTCATCCAAAGAACGGATATATCTTCAGTTAGAGAAAGCTTCCCACATGCTTACCCGCGCTTCTTCTTATGTTATCGCCTCTCTTATAGTCCCTATCTCCCATTTTTTGCCATCCAAGGTTTCAACATTTGCTGCATTAACAAATTCATGGTGCATTTTGAAAAGCAGCCTATTCAAATTTTGGATAATTCTTTATGCCATCTCTCATAACTACAAATGCTTAGTGAGCTTGTTTAGTGCACTAGTCCCAAGTTATATCACAGGATATGCAGTTGGTGATTGCCAACAAACTGCTCTCATTCTTTCCTAACTTGTGGTTCTTCTTGAAGGCGTACACAGATACCAGTCTAACTGGAGTGGCCTTTACATTACATATCTGCAATAAAAATATCCATTTTGAAGCAATGTTAAGCTAAATGAGTTCTCGAAAGGAACCAAGAATGCTATAATGAGACGCTGATGCAGATCTTTCCTCCAGGTCCTCTAGGTGAGATCAAACTTAGCAAACAGCATGCTGATTTTTATAAAACAACTGTCAGTTTTGACTGTCAGTTGATCGGAGAAGATATTTTATCCTCAATGGATATTAAGATGGACAACCTGTGGTATGATGTTGCCATTTTACTTGCTTGGGGAGTTCTTTATCGGCTATTCTTCTATGTTGTTCTTAGATTTTATTCCAAGAATGAAAGGAAATGAAGACAAGGCTTTCTTTGTTTTCCTTTTTGATTCTGTGTCAAATCCAAGTTTGTCTTCCTTCCAAGTAAAGATTATGACTTTAGATAATTTCCATGTAGAAGCATGTAATGAATGTTCAAGATCTTGTCATTTTTTGTTTATTTGTAAATTTGTAAAATATACAAAGTTCTGATGGGATTTACAAAGAAGGAAAGCCTTTTGTCTGTTTATAATGTGAACAAATTGCCTAAACAGGTATTACGACAATTGAATTGGTGTAAATAAGAGTGTGTGTTTTTCATTGGGAGAAAAAAAAAAAAAAAAAAACAAAAGCAAAGCAATAATAAGAGGTATAATTTTTTAAATGACAATTAACTATGCTTACACCAAAGGTACACGACCATCCATACACCAAGCCATTAGTGAATTACTATTTAGAAAAGTTTGTCATTATATTTTAATAGTTTATCATGTTTTTTTTCCCATAGTGAAAAGGAAATACCACCCTCGTCCACACCAAATAACTTTATAGGATTAGGTTGGTATATAGGTGAGACTATACACCAAATGTAGGTAAGTCATTTTCAAACAAATGAGTTATGAAAATACATCTAGTGTAAATAAGTATTTTCTATTTATAATACAGGATAAGTTACTAGAAAGCCCCTGGGTTTTTCCATAATCATCCAATGCATGAAATGGAAATGGGAGTTTAAACAGCCTTTTCTAATATCTATTAGGTTAGAATGTTTAAAAAAAAAAGGTCCCAAATCTATTAGGTTAGAATGTTTAAAAAAAAAAGGTCCCAAAATCACAGCTACAATTAAATTTTTGGAACTCAGTTTTATAATATTTTTCAAGCCAAATCGAAAATTTCAGTAGCATTTCTTCCCCAACCAAATCAGACCATTTAAAGTAAAAAAACCAAACCAAAATATTAATTACGTTTTGGTTTGGTCTTTTAACATGATTTTAAGATGTTTGAAGTTATTTTTATTACTCAAATAATTGAAGAATTCATATCACAAATCATAACCTAAGCATCCATTAAGATTTAAAAAATATATATACATGAATTTTTCAACCTATAATAAGAAACAAATATTTGAGATTTGAGATGTACAATAAAAAATATTCCAACATTTATTGAGATGTAATGGCGACTATATTTTATTGCTCGCTGTGGGGAATATCCTAGTTTAAGTGTGGTGTGCCCACGGAACTTGAAAGAGAGGTTCTATAGTTGTAGTGAGCTTAGAAGAAAATGAAAATCAGAAGAATTAAAGATATGAATATTGAATATTATTCATATGATTGTAGTATTGAATATTTACATGCTGATTAAAGATATGAAGTCTTAATTTATATGATTGTAAAAACATTAAGAATGTTAAAAACTAATAGGAAAGAAAAAATGTTCTTATAAAAGGGATTAATTTTTTTTCCAATTTTTTAAAACATTATAATTCAAAAAATAAATTAAAAAAAACATTATATTTCAGAAAAATATTTTTTGGACACAAAGGGATCATACTATAATAACAAAAAAAAAAAAAAAAAAAAAAAAAAAAAAAAAAAGCGACCATACATTTATACTAAAGCGACCATACATTTATACTAAATTATTAACAAGAGGAACAAGAAATAAAGCTGAAATGTCTGAAAGTAAAAACTAATTTATTGGAAGCAGTCTTCTTCTACACTGAAAATGAAAAATCTAGGCTGATAATGCCAAGGAAAGGAAAGCTACAAAGAGAGCAATAAAACCACTGGATTTCTGGATTTGGGCCGCACCGGTCGTCTTCTCTGACTCGCTTGGAGGATGTGCCGTTTTGGAAGTGCCTGTTAACCAATACACTAAAACGTTAATACATGAAAACGACAATTCGTAGACCAGAAAAAAAAAGAAAAAAAAGGAACTCACCATTATTAGCAGAATTTGATGGAGGTGATGGAGGCGATGGAGGTGATGGTGATGGAGCACTGATTGGTGAAGTTGCTGAAAACAAGTAGAATTAGATAATTAAGCAATAAATCCAACACAACAATCATTCCAAATTGATTTTTATTAAATAATAAAAAAGCAAACGTAAAAGCATATAGAAAATACCATTCTTGCAAAGAGCAAGATTAGGCTTTGCACCACAAGTAACGGCAAGATTGACAGCCTGCTCCTCAGTAAAATTGAAAGTCTTCATGATCCCAGGATTAGTGATCACACCACAAAGGCACTCTGCCTCATTTATCACCAAATTTTTCAGCGGCTGGCAGCAAGTTCCGGGAACCCCCGTTGGGTCGCTCAGGTACTTCTCGCAAGGCAATAATTTGGTCACACATGCCGTATCTTGTTTTTTCTTTGTTTCACCTTCTTCAGAATACACATTAATGCCTCTGTAAATCCCTCTTCCATATAATCTTGATATTTCCTCACTGTTTTGAGCATGAGAAAACCCAACAAGCACAAGTGAAGAAAATGTAATAATTAAAATTAAAAAATTAAAATAACACTTGCAATCCATAATTGCTAATTAATCTCAGATCTCAAAATTTATAGTAAGCACTGAAGGATTGCTGTAATTGTGAAGAGAGAAAATAAGTAAGTGATATTAATTAATTGTTGGTTCTTTACGAGGATGTATTTATAGTAAAAAAATAATAAATATTCAAAATTCTAAAATTTAGAAGATAAGAATTAAAGTTGTTTTGATTATGCTATATTTAAGATTGACTAAACACCTGCTAATTCAAATCTTTTGCGCTTATTTAGGTAGCTAATACTTATTCATACTTTCTTATATAACGAAATATTTGTTATTGGAAAATCTTTTTAATTAATAATAATATTTTGTGAAGGATTCTCTCTTAAAGTAGAGGGTAAAAGTAAAAAAAAAAAAAAAAGAAAGTAAAAGTAAAAAAAAAAAAAAAAGAAAAAAAAGAAAAATTGTACTTTTTTTTACCTATTCAAGCTTGTACCATCACTCACAGCTGCCTTTCGAGTATGGCTAAACCATAGGAAATTACTGGCTTTCACTTAGTGTGTTCGCTCACCCATTTAACAAGTTAATGTTTAGCTGATATTTAAAAAATTTGTCACCATTTAAATTACTTGCTTAATTTCATGGAAACAAAAAAATTAAATGTTATCTATAAGTTTTTTTAAATAATAATAATTATTTAAAAAAAGTAAAATTATTTATAAAGATAAAATTATAAAACCCTAGCTCTCACCTTCTCTTTCCTCTGTTTGTAGATAAGATTTTTGTTTTTGAAAGAATTATCTTTAAAGATAATACTTGCTTATATATATTAACATTCGAAATGCATTATTAAAAAATGACTAGATGGATATATATCTTTAGAAAAAAAAAAAGATATATATTATTATATATATATAATATCACATAATTTTAAATTAAAAAAAAAACAAAATGGATATATAAGTTTTTCAATTCTACAATAATAATAAAATCCACAAGACGCCGTCGTATTTGTGACAAAGGAGTTTGTAAAAATTTTTTAAGGTGAGGAGCGAACTTTTATTGTTTTGGCACATAAGAAGTTAAACTTATAATGATATTAGTGTTTCTTGGATTAGAAGACAAATTAATACAGGGGCTCAATTTTTAGAAAGAGTTTCCTATCTTCATGTTGAAATAAGTGGTTACGCTCTTTCTTTTAACTGAAAATGACTTTATATTCAAATAATAGTTGATAGAGATGCAATTATGATATTTGTAGTTTTGTAATTTAAACAAGTTCCATTATTTGGAAGTTCTATTTAGTAGTTTCCTATTTTATTTTTGATAGTAGATATACTATTTCATAGTCTTTCTACCTAGTAGTTTTCTTATTTGGTAGTTTTCTATTTTCCTTTTTGGTAGGAGATCTTCCATGTAGTAATCTCGTTCCAGTAAAATTACTTTAATTAACACTTTTATATATTAAGAAAATGAAAAATTTTTCTCTAAATTTTGTCAATAAGTTTTAAAATTTTGAAAATAAGATATAATTGCAATATTATCAGATATATTTTTCGGACAATCATTTAACCATTTCCCATTTCATTAAGAAACATATAATTTTAACTCAATGTTACCTTCAAAAGGCAAATGCACTAACTGAGTAATTTATTACAATGTAATCATAATAGTAAATAGATTGAATGCATAAATTTACGTTTAAAATTTATGCATTTAATTTTATGACACTTTAAGTTTGCAGTTACCTACCTAAAATTATACTTTCTAATATCAAAATTGCAATAGCCAATCTAATAAATTTGTGTGGACTTCAAATGCAACTCTATGGTAAACCACTTATGACACATGGTACAAGTTAGCTTCCGACTCTAATTTCTTTTATTTCTTTAAATTTTTTAATCTCTTCTTTTTATTTATTTTTAAAACCAATCTCATATGCCTTCTTTTTCTCTTTTCTTCTTCCTCATCTCGACCATCTCTTTCTCTCTTTTTTCATTTTTTTTTTTTTTTTTTTTTTTTTTGCTGGGAATTATCTTCATTCACCGATGATAATGAAGAAAAATTTATGTCACTAAAATAATCATCCTCATCATTTGATAATGATGCTTTCTTCAATACTTGTCATTTCTTCAGTAACAACTAATTTCCTTTCTTAGATGCCAGTGCACGCTCAATTACATTTTTAAGATCTTGTTGATTTACTGATTTACCATATAAAAAATAAAACTCTACAAATCTAGTTCGAAAATCCAACCCATAAGGTATTAAAAGGTTAGGGTTATAAGTTATAACCCATCAGAAAACTGGGAACATGAGCAGCATCAATAGTGATTTAGGCTTGAATGAAGTGCCTTGGCAACAATAGCAGTAGTAACGGATATGAATAGAACAAACTCATGTTACAGAATTTTTGTATTTAGTTTTTGAGCAAAATTTTGTCTTTTGATCTTGATTTTACATTTGCTCATCTTGTGTTTGATAAAATGCCAAAAAGAGATATTTTGTTTTGTTTGATGTTAGAGATAAAGAGGAAGGAGTCCATATGTTGGCAACATTTCAAGGCCGTCACTCTCCCTCGAGGGCGTGACATTCATGCGTGCATTGCCAATGTGGCAAGGTGCGACTTTGATATTAGAAAATACAACTGCATAGGCATATGATAGGTTCCCGTGAATTTAAAGAGTTCCACGAAGTTAAATGCGTAAACTTTTATGGTAAATTTATGCATTTCACTTTAGTAAATATAATTCGGAATTCTTTTCAAAAAAAAAAAATATAATTCGGAATTAGACCTTTTTATCTTTATATAATTATAGTTTCGAAGATGAATTTATGTCAAACTTAATTCACATGTTTGACTAGGCCTTTGCTCAAGGAAACAAATATCTCTATTAAAAAATGAGAAAATAATTAATTCGTCCATGAGATTTGACCAAACCAATTAAGTCACCAATAGTTTGGCAATATTAATTAATGAGTCTTGAGTTTTATCTTAATTAAATCATTTGATCCTTCCGTCCATTTTCTCTAGATTTTTCCATAAATATCTTTAAAAAAAAACTAAAATACCCTACCACTTA